AAGCCCCTTTGTGAGATTGTTGTATGATATAGATTTCTCATTTCTTTATTAATTTTATTATTATTATTATTATTAGTATTATTGTGTGATACTTATTCTTTGCTATGTATTACAAATTAAACAGTGACATATTAAATAGGCAACATATCTTCAAATGTGTAATGAAAAGTACTGCAAAGTACTGTGTAACTGCGGTTGATATGTAACTTATCACATAATCTGGGAGGAATATTCAGATACAAAGTACCAAAATGCTCATAGAAATGTGTGGAGGAGAGTTGAATCAATTAGTTTTACTACCAAGTAGCTGCTATCAGCTTGATGATTTACAGGTTTCTATCCTTGGTTAGACTCAGTGTAGCTTGATTTGCATTCAGTTCAGTTCCAACATTTAAAAAGCAGAGTTTTATAGCTACAGATCTTCAGTCAATATTTTGAAATTAACCTTTTTTTAAAGCAGACCATTTGATGGTTACATATACCAAAAATGTGGCTGGTAATACATGATATATAAATTGTTTTATAATTACATTACCTGTATCTAAACATTGTACATGTTATAATATTCGTTATATGTTTTTTTTTGTCAGTGTCTCCTTCAATGCCTTGAATTACATCGATAAATTTGTTTATTAAAAAAAAGTATTCGATTAGATTCTTAAATGTCCTTAGGAAATCCATTAAGCTGTACGAAACCGTGCCTGGTTTGGTTCATGCCTGGACCTTTCCTTTTGGAGGGCCAATTGTGAGTGGAAGTATATAATATATATTATTGGACAATCTCCATTGTGAGTAAGTTAATAAAATACTGGCTACCTTGAAATCATTTAATGTGTCCCAGTGGAAAACGGTCATTTAATGTGAACATTTTTGTGTTTCATTTAATATAATAAACATATTCTCACCCTCATTTTGATTCTGTTTGTTTAATGGTTTTGCGCATGCATTGCTAATTATTTGTTTCTTTTAAAACTTCATCTTAAGGTTTTGCGACTAACCATGGCCATCTTGACATTTTGAAACGTGTAGGACTGTGGCCAGGATTTAGCTGAGATTTCAGGGTGCTACCACAAAAGAGGTTGAAGAAAACAACAATACCTACATTGCATGGATTTCGTGATGCAAATAAAGCACTTCAACCAAACACAAACAGCTCTGCACTGTATGCTTTATTAGAGTGATACCTTGGAAGGATGACAGATCCAGGCAGTAGGTGTTAAGTGGCATCATTCTGCAGGGATTTCCAGGACAGCTTGAATGCACTAAAAGAGCTGCTCTGGATCCCAGGATTTCAGGTCAGGCTCTGCAGTGTCACTGCTTTCAAGCCTCACTATCATAGATATGCCAAAATCCTCCATGACTCTGCTACACCTGGCACTTCACGTATCACAGAATAGAGTGATCACGTCATAGATGGCTTTGAGTAGTACAACTTAAAGAATACTCAGACATTTACTTTATATTAATCGGCCTATTTGGAAAATGAAAGCAGGTAAGATGGCCCATTTAAAACAAAAAAAAATAATAATTAATAGGTGACGGTTTAATAGCGGGTGAAAGGTATGCGCCTCTGGGTTTGGGAAAAACTTAAATATCTGAGGATGCCGGCTCTGACGTCGGAGACGTTGACCCTGGGGAACCACCTCATCACAGGCTTGCCGTTCGGCCCCACAAGAAACTTCTCAAAATTCCACTTGATGTCGCTGACCTTCAGAGGCTCCCAAAATAACCTGTTGGTGGGATTTCCGAAACTGTCCCCGACAGGGGGGCACGCATTCTGCAGGACGTGTTTAAAAAAAATAATAATAATTCAATCACTCCTAACATGCAGCCTATAATCATTTAGCAATAAGTCTGTCATGCAGATTTAGAATATTTTTACGTTTGTTTTATTTTTGAAGGGATGGGGAACAATGCACCTATCAACTGGAAAAACAATATTTTCACACTTTCCTTGTTAAATTTTTGATGATTAAATGCATTTTTGCCCCCCAACCCTTCCCAATTAACTAACAGAATAAGACCCACTGTCAAATGAGGGAGGACTTTAGGCTATTTCCATAGGCACAAGCACTTTAATTATATAAATTATTTGTGGCCTGTTGCAGAGTGTGTTATTTTGACATAGTGTCTAATGATTTTTTTTACATTAACAATGGCATCAAAATCACCAACCAGAGCTGAAAGCAATAGTAAAGTAACCTGCAATTGCAGCATTTAGCTTCCTGAAAATCAGCACAACACTAGGATAGAAGTTTAATAATAGCAGAGACATTTTTCCTCACCTTGAGGAATTTGAAGACTCCTTGCTCGGCATCTCCATTAATATCAGCTTTTTGGAAAATTGTGAAATTTGGAACAAATCCATTTCCTGGCCGTACATGCCTGAAAACCAGGAATTTAATTTTCCATGCGTATCTTAACTCAGCTACAGATATATCCTATTATTAATTACTTTTATTGATCTCCCGGTATAAAATATAAACAAAACAAGCTGAACAGATAATTTTTATATGAAATGACACATTTTTCATGTTATTTGATTGATCATCGAGATTAAACATTGTAAGTATACTCACTTTAAAGCTGAAAAAATTTCATGATTATCCCCAGGCTCCTGCTTCCCAAACTGGTTGCAAGGAAAACCAAGGACGGTGAAGCCGTAATCTTTAATCTCTTCATGTAGTGCATTCAGATCTGCACGAGTCAGAGAATAACATACTTTTCATGAAATACAAAGCTTTTTTTGTAGCTGCTGAAATCAGGTGCACCGTTTAAAATTATGTAGAATAGATGATGATTCAACTACCATTTTACTTAAGATGCTTTAGAAAAAAACGGCAATACTCCGCAATTTCGGTACCACTTCACTTGACGGAGCACAAATAATATAGTGTTATGCTATTACTTATATACTAATCGATCACAAACTCTTAGTTGCATACTGATATTTCATGTCAATTCTTCATTAATGAATCGTGACGGATCTTTCATCCCAAGCAGTTACTATATTTGTTACTATGTCTGTTAATTCTGTAAACCTTGTGTGAAGTAGTGAATAACAAGTGAAATTCTGATCTCAAATTTGTTCATTAATGAATCGTGACGCATCTTTCATCTCAACGGGCGACTATATTTGTTCATGTTTGTACTTTAGTAGTAAATCAGTTATTACTAAGTATTTGTGCGTCAAAGTGTTACGGCAATTTCGTCTGAAAAAACACACGTGACTTACCAAGGTACTGAAGAGTGAGTCCTCAGTAGGTGGCAACATTGACAAAGAGCACAGTTTTCCCCGTGTACTCACTGAAGGGAACATACCGGCTGCCATTTAGAGTTACTGCTCCATAGTTGTAAATGGTGTCTACGGTATTAGGATCACAGACCTAGGGATGACATCATTTATTTGGTTATGCAAAGCAAATTTCTGGATTTTATTTCATATAATTTAAAATCAGATTTCTGCTTGGATGCACATTTACTTTGTGGTCACCCACGATGTGTTTTTTGTGGTATTATCTTATACTTTAAATTAATAAATATCTATAATATAGGCCAAAAACGCGCTTTGCATTTTTTTCTCTTTATAAAAACGTTCGTTGTATTTCACCATTCATGATTATAAAGCGGCACATGAGGCATGCAGTACTATATATTCTAAATACGATATTGAAAATGTGCACATTAATAAGACTTCTGTGTCATTTTGTTTGGTTAAGGTGTTATTTCCATACATAAACACAGATATGGTGGTTTCGTCTGGGTTAATATATCCAGCCCTATGTGGTTTGGCAAAAGTTACCCGCTTTTGTTTTTAACACGGTAAAAACACGGATTCTTGATTAATATGGGGAAAATCCAGCAATATCCAGTCCATGCCAAGAAATTCTTGAATTTCGGGAAACAAAATGACGCAACTTATAATGTCAATATTTGATTTCTGTACAGACTGTGGTCACTGAGAAAATAAACAATCTGACTGTTACCTTCACAGAAAATGACATTAACCTACAAATATCAATTCAAAGGTTAAGTCTTAAGCGCAAAATTTCGGCTTTTTCTTCCCGGATCGAAAAATAAACAATTTAAGTTAATCTAATACAAAACGCAGCCGACGTTTGTTATCATGGATTAACTATATCAATACAATTTATGAATGCGCATGCATACAGTAACAACTTATACATAATATTTTCCCATATAGGGTGTATTTATTGTTACGGAATAAGTGAAATGTTTTGTTACGTGTTACAATCTCAATGTATACGAAAAAGAAAGGAGTTACCTGGACATTTTGGTTGCCAAGAGCCAGCTGGAGTACATTCACCAGAAGCACTGGTAAAATCCAGTGACTGCCCAGCGCCGTCATTTTGAGCGACACTGAGCACGTCGAGCCCTCGCTCTGAATTTGCACTATTCTATAGGGCTTTATCACTGCCGACCCAGTGCCACCTCCAGTGACAGGATACCCACGCAGTTTCCAACCAATCAAAACGCGTGACATAATATCCAGCCTGCCTTGAAGATTTTGGAATGTTACGTTGGGACGTGAGATGTAGAGCATTCCTAACGCTAATAAAGTAAAAGGCTGGGATCATACTGCCGCGTCTAGTTAAAGCATCTTGTTTACCTGTTTACCTTTACTGTGAAAAAACAATGCTCTGCTGGCCAAGTTTGTGGCTTGACCATGATCATGACCATTTGGCATTAATACTATACATATGTTATTTCTACATTTTTTTTCTTTCTTAAGTTGATCTATATTTTTAAAACATTGGTGATGTAGTGACTGACTTTATACCTAATGTGTAAACAGTCTTTGAAAGAGTATTTTAAACACTGAAGAACTGTATTACATTTGTCTAACAGATGCTTCTATCCAGTGACATACAGTTGAGAAATAAGGGGCAGACCGTCCCTGGAGCAAATGGGTGGGATTGTGATGCTTATCAAAACTCCGCCCCCGATAAGGTAATACAAACAATTAAATAAAGAAAAACTTCGGTTTAATCTCAATTTATTGGTCATTATGTTACCTGTACACTCAATGAATCATTGACTTGCGGGCAGACTACGTGGCAGGCCAACAGAAATGTGCCTAAAGAGGACATCTGTGGGATCCCTGCCTTTAACTTTACCTCCATTTTCTCCATACACAGTTTTGTTGAAAATCTTAGAGTGTTTTAAAGGGGCAATTTGCAAGGCACTGTCACACACACACACACACACACAAGGTAGGTACATTTTTAAATGCACAGCTAAATTTTGTATTGATCATTTTCAAAGAGGTAATGTTCATAACACTCCTAAATAAAACATTGCAGTAGGCATGGGCATTCGGAAAATAACCAATAACAATAAAAAGCGAGATTTCCCAATGGCCATTAAAGGTCTTCTATGCAACCCAGCTCTTAGAAAAAGACTTGGCCTTTCGGCCATGAAGTAAAGACACGTCAGATTAAAATCCATGAAAGAGAGAGATTAGAAGGTGAAGAAATGTCCGTTGTAAGCCACTGAATGCATTTTTGGTTAAAAGTATCAGATTCAACCTGAGCCAGTGAAACACTCCTTAAAAGATACATAGAAACATTTTTTTAATAAACAGATGACTACTTGTAGCATTCACTTACATCATTTTGGACACTTGTACTACTGAAGTGTTTCAATTTAACAAAATGCTTGACTTTAGTCAACTTGTCATCATGTATAAAATATACAACTGCTTCAACCAGAATTTAATACATATTCACAAAGTATAAAAAAAATCTTGTTTTCAGAAGTTGAACTACAAATTGTAATCACACATTGTTTCATGTAGCTGCTGCTTAACTACATACTTTGGAGATTAAATTAAGCATATATGTGACTTTTCTTTGCAATGCCTATGTGCGCTATAAAAGGGTCCATTCACTGTGAAAATTGCGCACCATGATTAAACTGCTTTAATGTTTACTTAACTGCAAAAAATGAGTGGAATGACTTGAAAATGAAAAAATAACCATGAGTTAAATGTGACTTCACACATCAGAGCACTCAAAATGGAAACAGCTGTGAAAACACTGATAACGGCCGAGTGACAGATACTGGTGACGGCCGGCTGTCCCACCTCCAATCAGCTAGCTGACATCCAAACGCGAAGCTTGTCACGACTTCATGACGACCAGAACATCGTATGAGAATGCCAGACTTACTTGAACATTTGAAATAGTCTGGTTTTAGTACTGCAAAGTACTTACACAAAACAGTAGTCTGGTTATTTTTTTAATTTATTTTTTGCTTTTCCTGTTTGAATAGACTGTTTCCTGTTAGCAGTATTTATGGTCTTTCAGCTAGTTGCAATAGGCCTAAATGTCATCTTCTTAAGACATTTTAAGTTACCTCACATAATATCACTATTTAAATACACATTGGCACTTGCTGAGTTTCTGTCCCATTAACATATTAAATGGCCTCATGGTCACAATAATAACAAAACAATTAAATACAGATTCTATAAGAATATGACCATGCATGTTCACAAGTCAGTAAACTTTCTTTTTGTGCAGTCATTCAGAAACGGGCCAACGCTGTCAGGTTGGGGACCTCTTTCCACTTGGCTCTCATCCAATCCAGGCAGGAGCACGTGACAAGCCTGTGTTCGGCTGTTTCCGTTTTAAGCATCAGGAATTCACGGGCCTGCTGGGGCTAGTCCGAATCCTGTAGATAACGACGGAAGCTGCTGGGCATGCCAGCAGGAAGCTCATCACGATGATCGTGGCTAGGATGACTAGCAGAATGGCCCAGATCTCAAGGATATGTGTCGGGAGCATGTCAAGTGTTGACAATGGATCTGCCGTATAAAAGGAAATGTAACAATCACAAATTATACTAAAAATCGGTATTTGGTTATTTGCAACACAAATTTTATAAAATAATTTCTGCATCTTTTGATTCCTTTACGTTGTAGAGTTAACCTTCATGTTCTTCACGAACATAGATGATCAAAGACAAAAGCACAAGGGCTGACAGTGACCTCATCTGTTGAATGCGTCATACAGACGTCGCGAGATGATGGATAATGGAATGCTTTTTATGAGTTATCAAGTTGGGGCAAATATTACAGATCAGATGATGGTTCGTGACAGTCAGTCTACATTCAGACAGATCCTTTTGTTATGATAACACGTTGTTGCCGTAGAGTAGCCTAATGATGTGGCGCTAAGCGAGCAACGTGCAAACACATTTCGTAAAACCGCCCAGTATTCAGTCGATGTTTTGAATATGAAATAGTTTCTTAGTAATCACGAAAATATTAAGCAAATTCGTCCATTTAAATGCATGGATTGTATCGTGCATAACAGAACAGCAAAAATCTTTAATTGCAGCATTATATTATAACAGAAAAAACTTCATCTTTTCTCCGCGCATGTAAAATGACGTCGAAGGATTTTTTTCAGATCCCACCTACTAAACAGTATTATGTCAGAACGAAAATAACATCTACAATGTTATCTAAAGTAACGTTAATAAGTGTAATATTTTAGAGGCCAACTCTAAGCTTCCTGAAACTATGAACCTCTACTAAGAACAGCTTATTAAAATGTTTTTAAATCTTTACAATTAAGTAAACTAGATAACTGTTATAAAACTCACCTTAAATCTTCAAATGTGAGAGTAATTTAAGCAATACGTTTCCGAAGAAGTACTTTTAGAGCAAAGACACACCGCACACCATAGTCATGTACTGTACGACTGCCTCGCTCGCTGGATTGACTGGGTTTGGACGATGACGGGAAGAATGACTTGATTGGCTGCCTGGCAGGACTAGGTGCGCCCGCCTGCGAACCGTCAGTGTCACGGCGAGCTGCCGGTCCCGGTAGCCATTCGGTCTGAGTTTAACACTTCGCGTCCTGAACATCCATCCATTTTCTGTAACCGCTCATCCTATTCAGGGTCGCAGGAGGTCGCCTGCAGGCTGGGAACAACCCAGGATGCAGGTGCGGTTCTGGGGAGGGGGCACAGTGCCCCCGTGGTCCCCCTAAATACGTATACTACTTGGGTTTGGAATAAATGTATTATTATTACTATATTATTATTTGCATTAAAATTTTTGTGCGCTGGGAACAGGCGACATACAAACGTAAGCACATTTTCTCGACTAACTCGTTTCAGCCGGTAAAAAGCAAATTAACGGCAGAAAAATAAATAAGAAAATAATCAACCTTGTGGAAGCAGGACAGTCTAAACAAGAAATTAGAGTGAGTTACATATTTGTAAAAACTGTAAAATGTGACTGAAATGCATAAATTACGTTTTCATAATTGTTTTTCGGTCTTAATGCTGGCTAGTGTAAGTAATATTTGGAAGACATTGAAGGTTAAAGCATCTAGCCCCCTAACAGAAGAACTGCCCCCCCGGTTTAAATGGTGTAGAACCTCCACCGCCAGGATGGGGCGCCAATCCATCGCAGGGCACAGTCACAGCCAAATACAAATACTGTGGATTTGCGTCTCAGACGGTCGGCGTCCCTCGTATATGATGTGCTGATGACTGTCCCAAACGGAATAAAGTTAGACGCCGTAACTGGTTAGTTTGAGAATAATTTGCACATGCGTAGATGGACGCTAAGATACCACAGCATCTACACTGATGGACCAATTGCTTCCACCTACTTTGGAAAGAAGCCCAAATAAATTTAATCACACGGTTTTGATTTCCGAGTTATGTTGCACGGCAAACTATCGACGACGTTTTCGTACCTTGCAACAAATGCAACAATTGTTATTATTTTAGAAACAACTAACAACGTCACCACTTAGTCGTGTGTCGTCCCTGAGCACGTGACCAAGTGGATCACGTGGGCAGGAATTTCGTGGTTGGTCGGGGTTTCAGGAGGAGCGGCGATGGCGTCCTTACTGCAGCCCGAACGGGTGAACTATCTTGTCACCGGCGAAAAAAAGATCCGTTCCCCACTTTCTAGTTTATATTTCTGTCGTTATTGCAGTGAATTGCGGTCTTTGGAATGTGTGTCTCACGAAGTAAGTCAAAGTATAGTTATCCTACTATGTTTCTTTAGCTTGCTATTGCTAACGGGGCGTCTGGTACAGTGGGCGAGGTTTTGTCAATGTTCCGGGGGTATTTTGTAGCTTATTTGCCGGTTGGCACGTCAATTTATAATCCTCAAATTCGATTGGTGAACTGCAGACTCTTTCATTGCCGCAAACGCTGGCTAATGAGAAGAAAGCTAACAAAATGGTTGACTGTAATTTACTAAATGGTTAGTTGATGCTAACGATGTACAATATAGTCGTGTACTATTTGAGGTGCAGAGTTAAAAAATGTAAACTTAATAAAGGCAATCGTATTATTTTTCGGTCTTCCCCCCCCGGCCTTGTCAGGCCAGAAATTGCTTTATCTGTTTGGATAGCTAACACCAACAGTCTTGGCACATGGAAAGCAAGAGCAGATTTTTTATATATTTAGATATATTACGAAAATCGATTGATTGTCATTGATTGCCATTTTATTTATTACCTAGAAGGCCTCAACAGAGTATATCATCATCTTTCAGCGTATATCATTATTTCTGCTATGCTAAATATTGATTTTCTACATAAATGTGTATTTTAACATTAGGTGGATTCTCACTATTGTCCCAGCTGCTTGGAGAATATGCCTTCAGCAGAGGCAAAACTAAAAAAGAACAGGTGAGAAGAGGCAGATTCTCATATTTAATGCTGTCAGTAAGGAATTGTGGTATGAATACTTAGACATTTCTAATTTGATTGTAACTGCCAGTTGCTGGTACAGGCTAGTTCTTGAATATGTCTAACAGTTAATGTTGCTATACATGCATATTCTCCTATGGAGAATAGTGAATTGTCATGAATTGTGGTTTGTGATTCTTGCTCCCGTAATACAGGTGTGCCAATTGCTTTGACTGTCCCTGCTGCATGCACACCTTGTCCACGCGTGCCACCAATATCCCAGCCCCTTTGCCTGATGATCCGGCCAAGACCACCATGAAGAAGGCCTACTATCTGGCCTGTGGCTTCTGCCGTTGGACTTCCCGAGATGTTGGCATGGCTGACAAGTCTGTGGGTCTGTCCAGTTTCTTGATATTTTTATCCATCACGGGATTGAATCAAATCAACCTTAATAGGTTCTATAAAAAGTGAAAGTGATTTTCCCCCTTCAATATATTACAGTATAGATTTAAAGTGCTATTTCTCCCTTTTCTTTTCCTTTCTTTGTGACCTGTCATGTTATGTAAACATTTAAGACTATATAATTTTTCAGATACAAGATTTCTTTATTAAAACCATTTTTAAAATATTTTGTCAAAAGCGTGTGTTGCATACAGACATATTCCTTTAAGCTGAAAAAAATGACAATCTTCTGAATAATAAAAAACCATAAGAATACTGATGAAATATACCAATATTCGTGCAATATTGCAAAATTACAGGAGCTCAGAAATGCACACGAAAATTGAATTTCAAACAGCTTGTACACCTTTAAAAGCTGCGCAATTTTAGACGTAATGAAGGGAGCTTTTGTGAATTAGGATTTACTAAGATCAGTCTAGTAAAATAGAATGGGAAAAAAAAAAAAATCCTCCTAAAGCTTATTGTCCCCAGTGGTCTCGGGGCGTTTGCCCTGCCCATTTCTGTTTGTTTAGTGATGTGCAGCTGCCCCTTTTGGTTCGTTTAGTGATGTGCAGCTGCCCATTTTGGTTCGTTTAGTGATGTGCAGCTGCCCATTTCTGTTCGTTTGGTGATGTGCAGCTTTGTTTCTCTTGCAGCCAGCGGTGGCTGGCAGGAGCCTGAAAATCCTCATGCTCAGCGGGTGGGTGCAGCACCTTCCTTTTCTCCAAGCTTAGCTTTTCTAGTTGTAACATTTATATTGTACCTTCTGAAGCTCAGAGACTTTTCTCGCTCGTTTTCCCCATAGATCTACAAGCTCATTGAATATTACCAGCAACTGGCCCAACGGGAGAAACTGGAGAGGGATAGGAAGAAGTTTGCAAGACGACGGCCCTACATGCCCTTGGCATTTTCGGTACACCACCCAGTTCAGAGAAATAACAGCCACTCCAGACTATAATAAGAATTATTGCATTTTTGGCCAGACTGTTTGGGAGCTCATCCTTGGTAAATCCTAGCATATCAGCATGCCTGTTCTCACCCTGCATAATGTTACTCTTTCGAAAGGCTTTGTCTCTGTACTGTTTGGTTTCTGTTAAATGCTGATTGATGATTTCCAGCTTTCTAACTGCATTTATAACCAATCCATTTCTTTTGCTGCTGCATTTAATAACTAAATATTTGCTTAATTACTTTTTCACTATGTTCTTTCTCTCCTTTTTTTTCTATAATGTTTGCTGCTATTGTTTTTAATCCCTAGCAACACACTATTCATGTGGTGGTGAGTTCCATTTTATGCAACCTTGGCTAATACTGTGCATTGCAGACAAGAATGAATATTGAATATCAATTTGCTATACATAGTTCTGTAGCTGATGAACCTCAGATCACATGAATGCCTTTGCTGCCTGTTGCTTACCCAGCACAAAAGCTTCTTTCACTCCATTATGAGAGACTTATTGAAATAGGGTATATATGTATTTTCCTGTATGTGTTTATAAGATAAAGCAGGGATGCATAATTCTTACAGAAAACATAGGCTAATGGGTAAATTGGATTATGGTATTTTATGTGAAAACAGTATCATAAAAAATATATTTGTCATGTCAGGCCTGGTTCTGAATTTCTACATTAGCTTCAGATTGCTGCCTCACCACATCCATCCATATTAATGCTGCTAAAACACTTGCATTTTCTCCCAATTACATTCTCATTTTTCTTTTTTCCCCTCTGGTTTTAGCTTTTTAATTTTTTAAAATCTTATCTTAAAACGATGGCTGCCAGCTGTCAGTAGATTTATATCATGTGTAAGATGTATAGCAAACAAACACTTAATTGATTTGTATGATCATACTAGGGCCTTGTATTTAAATGAAAAGGCTTTATTGCAAAAGGTATTATTGTGGCTTACAATGCCTGGTAGTCAAATCTCTCAGTCATCAGACCTTGTAAAAACTTTGCCCATGCAAAAGATTCTGAGATGCACTCCTTGCTGGAAGGAAGTTCTAATGTTGATCCTGCAAGCTACTTGTGAAATAGTAGTAGGATTGCAATTGGTGTTGGAGGTTCGAGAGCTGATGAAGTGTGGAACCATCTGAGGTCCCATTGGCTACGTAAACTGGAAATCCAACTGCTTGCTTGCATTTTTGATTGTGTTTTTAAATGACATTTTTTTAGTTTTACTGATTTGTAATGGGAGCATCTTATTTTGGTGTTATTTGGTTATAATTACATTATTTTGGCATATGGAAAGGGATGTATCAGACAAATGGATTTTAATTGAGCATGTACGTTAGTCTCTAGTTGCAGTTATTAACCTTCCCACACCGTCCAGTTCAGTACTTGGTTTAATGTGTCACAGGAAAAGTATGGTCTGGGCACCAGGCTGCAGAGGCAGAGGTCCGGAGCACCCATCACTAGCTTGGCTGGCCTTTCGTGAGTACCGGACCGCTGGGTCTTGCTGTCCCTCCTGGTTTTCCTTGTTGATGTGAAGGGAAAGCTTTGTGTTATCTTGTCTTGAGTTTCCCTGTCTGTCCCTCTCTTCTTCCTCCTGTATTGTAATGCTGCTCACACAATTTTTCTTACTGATTTTGATTAAATTGTATTTTATTTTAAGTGTTGTGTTGCATTTCACAATATACATGACGTAGCTTCAGGTTGCAGACCTTTTAGTGATGTTCTGCTCTGCTCACTAGGCTGAAAGAGGGTGAGGACCAAAAAGAGATTAAGATTGAGCCAGCCCAGGCGCTGGATGAGGTAGAACCTCTCCCTGAAGACTGCTACACGGGGCCTGTCAACCTGCCGGAAGGTAGGGCCACTATTTACAGCTCCTCTTTTTAGGCATCTGATAAAACACTTTTCCTTTATATTTATATGATTTGTTTGTTTATATTGCTTTTACTTACTCTCACTCTTTCTCTTGAGATTTATTCCTTGTTTCTATATTTTGACCTCCATGTTAGTTGCTTCTCTGTCTCACTTTGAGCTGCACGCAATGTATGAAAAGTGCTATTTAAATAAAGATTATAATTATTTTTTTTATGGCGTGCCATGCAGTGACCACCCTGCGGCAGAGGCTGCTGCAGCCTGACTTCCAGCCAGCCGGAGCCTCGCACATGTACCCCAAACACAAGCACCTTCTGATCAAGCGCTCTCTCCGCTGCCGGGTCAGTATTGCTGCCTGTTGGTCGCCCAGCGCTGCAGGCGTCTGCGTGTGACTGTGGTGTTACTCTCAGCTGCTTTACGTCAGCATTCAGGAAGTACCAATGAAATGTAAGACAGGGCTGGATATGAATGGAGTAAAAGGTGCGCATAAACAATTTGTCAGTTTGTTTCTGCCGTGTGGACTGACCATGAGCTTATATAACTAGCTATAGTCATCTCACTGATTGTTTATGGATTGCTGAGATTATTTAAAATGGATGTCGTGCTCATTATACAAGCAGTTTAACTTTGGCTCTCTTTTCTTTTTTTTCTTTTGAAATAACAGAAATGTGAGCACAACTTGAGTAAGCCAGAATTTAATCCAACCTCGATTAAATTTAAAATCCAGCTGGTCGCAGTGTAAGTACTAGTTTTTAACTTTTTGCAACCGTTTAATCCAATTCAAATTACTGTACATATTCAATTAATATTCAATAATAATTTAATCTCTTCCCACCACAGTAACTACATCCCTGATGTCAGAATAATGTCTATTCCAAACCTGAGATGCATGAAGGTAGGCAAAATGTTTGTTGCATGAACTTCAGTATCGGCTGTTTTGTCTGTTTAAACCTTTTTTGTATTTGCGTATACCAGCTCTATGTAGGTAAAGTGGCAGAGTTGATTAATAATTGGCTTATTAGTAATATTACCTGAAGCTGGGTTGGCCCTTACACCGCTGGTCTGTGTTGACAGGAAAGTCAGGTGCTGCTCACTTTGACCAACCCGGTGGAGAATGTTACTCATGTCACCCTGCTTAACTGTGAGGATGGGGACGCCGATGACATCAACAGCACTGCCAAGGTACTGGGCCACGCACTGCTGCATGGTGGTGCTGTGATCAATGGCACGACCTGTGAAGGGAGCCGATGTTGGGCTCTGCTGATCACACAGGAGGTTTTCCTCATTTATTGGTACCTGGCTGCCTTGCAGGTTGTAGTTCCATCCAAGGAGCTGGTTCTGGCTGGGAAGGACGCGGCGGCAGAGTACGACGAGCTGGCTGAGCCGCAGGACTTCCAGGACGACCCGGAGTGAGTGCCGCTGCTGTCCGCTGCTGCCTGGGCCCTCACCTGTGTCGCCCCCTCCTTTAAAATGGGGCTTGAGGCAGAGGGGGCCCTGTCGCGAGTAGTGCTGTCGCGATAATATCAGATTTATTTCTGGGGCCACTGTCATGTTTTGACGCCGTGATGCTCTTTGGTGCTTCTGAACAGGGTTTACCTGAGGATCTGACCAGGCGTGGATCCTAGCAAATAAGGGCAGCTTCCCGTGGCTGCATCTTCGGGGGGGGTACTGACTTAAAATGCGGGGCCAAACTGTACCCCTTGGTCAACACCTGTGATTTTCAATTCAATCTGTTATTATATAATGCCTTCAGAGACGCCCCAAGGTACTTTACATGGGTGTGTTATGACACATCACAACATTGATTCATTAAGATGGAAAAGTACAGAAACAGGGAAAAGGGGGGATGAAAGAGAAAGAAAGATGACAACAGAGGAGAGGAACTAAAAACTCCCAATTAAAAAACCTCTGGGGATCCAAGGTCAACTGGCTGCCTAACCCCCCACTCCGGCATGCTAACATTACTGGAAAAATAAGTGTGGGCTTGCTTGCTAAAAGCAGAGAGTAAACTGATCCAGGTCAAAGTCCATCAATAAGTCTGTTCTCCACGCTGGTAGCCTGTGTAGGGTGGCAGATTGAAGGCTGCACCCACAATGTTACAGTTCGTAACAATTGTGCCTATGATTGAATCACAGCCATGATATATTTGAGTACAACCGCACTCCTTCTCGTATGTTATTGCTTAATTGAAGAAAAACTTTAAAATTAACCAAAAAATGTTTTTAAAATTGGCTCATAAATGAACATTGACAATGGTGTGTGCCTGTATGCTGTCTATTCAAGCATCCATTGCCCTGCATCCTAACTCAGTTGTTGTCTAGCTCTGGTTGATGGTGGAGCTGCAACTCGTTATTTGTGTATTGTACTATAAACATGTGCTAAGTGTGCTGTGTTTTTAGCATTTGCTAAGTGTGCTGTGTTTTTAGCATTTGCTAAGTGTGCTGTGTTTTTAGCATT